TAATTTTATTAGAAATTACAGTGATAAATTAATAAATTAAAATTAAGTTTCGGGTCATTTCGGGTCGACCCGCCAACCCGTCAACCTGAAATTTTCGAGTTCAAGTCAGTATACCTAACCCGTCACGGGTTGGCGGGTCGGGTTCGGATCAACAGATTTTCTGACGGGTCGGGCCAACCTGATTTGGACCCTAATTGCCACCCCTAAGTTTTTGGTACAACTGAGAGCAGCATATGTTTAGGTATATTTACTGAAATATCCTCATTTTTGTACATTTAAAGTTTTGATTTATGTAGACATCTGAGTATTTCTAAAATATGGAATTATTTTGCAAGCGTTTTTGCATCAAGTACAGCTCATATAAACTTATGTGTTGGTATAATTATTGAAATGGTGTTATAGACATATTTAATTGAAGCGTGGCTTTTATTGTGCAATTAATACAAAAATATATTAACACGTTGCTATAACTAGCCGTTGGAGGGTATTCCTTTACCTGAAATAACTTATGTCTTCTCTTGAGCGATTTTCAACTCATATCTATAAGGTTCTTTTAGGAATGGTAAAATTATAAAAGTATTGATAAAATAAAGTGTACAAGTGTATGCCATAATTAGAATGTACTATTATTAATTTTGTCATATTTGATGACTATTTCTTTCCAAAATATACTATTATTTTGTCCAATGAAAAATTCTCTTTAATCATAGGCACCAAACACCTGCGCGATGCGCGGGCACTCATCCTCTAGTTTTGTTATGTTAAACAGTCCTATTCCTATTCCATCATAGGTTTGTCATCCAAAATGTAAATGCAGTTCAAGTATTAAATTTTTTAAAAAGTAAAATTAATGTGAAAAGTGTACAAATGTAAAAAAAGGATAATAATTGTTTGTACGTGCATCACCCTATTTTTGTTATGTTACACTCTTACTTCCATTTCATCATAGGTCTATCATCCAGATGTAGATGCAATTCAGGTATTAAATTTTTTATAAAGTAAAATTATTTTAAAAAGTATAATAATTATTTATATGTACATTTATATAATAGATTGAATATGACTTAAAATGTGTTAACAAGTATTGCTGAGCATTCGTCAGGAAAAAGCCCTCCTATTAGTTTTGAGGATTTATTTGACTCAATACTCTCGTATTGCTACGTATTGTGTACTACATATAAAGAGAGGAGAACGTTGGCGTAAACTTTTTGTATCACTTTTTCTATTTCATATTTTACCCTCCAAATAAAGGTAAAATGATACTACCATCCCAACAAAAAACAAGGGCACACAAACACAAAACACATACACACGCCCTTATTTTTTGACCTCGATAGAACTTCTAATAAGACAATAACCATTAACAACTTCCTATTAAAAGAAGAAAGAAAGAAAGCAAGAAAGAAAAACACAATACTTGTTCTAAATGAGTATAATGCATGGATAATAAAAAATGTAACAACTATCAAAAAACTTAATAACTTTTTATTTTAAAAATTTTCTTGTTTTAAATTTACACACACACACGTAGTGTGTGTATTTCCCACTAGTTAGCATGACAGAGTTGAGACGTATGACTCGATAAAGAACCTCAACCAACAAAACGGGGACAGCCACTAGGCCTTTGGCTTGGTGATGTGGGAGGTAAGGTTCAACTCTTGCCGACCCTTGACCTCACATCAATTTATTATTATATGTGGCGGTCTTAATTGACCATAAAAAAAATTAAACAGGAAACGAGGAAATGCCAAGGAAAAGAAAATGGATGCATGAACCTCAATCCATTCACTTTCAGATTTTGTTCACTAATGCAAACAACTAAAAAAGAAAAGAAAATGGATTAGAAATAGCATTAGACCCGAAAAAAAGGGGTCTTTGATGTAAGGGACGGGGGAAAACGGTGCCTGGACGCAAGAGTTAAAAAACTTTCTACCTGACTACAATGGATTAATTGCCACTGGCCATTTGATCCAGTGGTCATCACCATCTTTGGTGATGCTGGAGGTCAGGAGTTCAACTCCTGCCTCCCACAAACTTGTCACTTTACGTGGCTGGTCTTCTGCCTCCACGTGATAGCTCGAGCGGTCCGCTCCCCCTCCTTAGGGTATGGTGATCTTCCTGACTTGTTCAGGGTTCGAAACCCGTTGTTAACGTGCTCGGTGTGGAGTGGAGCCTCCTCTTCCGAGCCGCAGGGATTAGTCGGGCCCCGTAATGATTGACCCGGTCCGCTCCCCCTCCTTAGGGTATGGCGACCTTCCTGTCTCCTGTCTCCACGGGATAGCTCGAGCGGTCCGCTCCCCCTCCTTAGAGTATGGTGACCTTCCTGGCTTGTCCAGGGTTCAAGACCCGTTGTTAACGTGCTCGGTGTGGAGTGGAGCCTCCTCTTCCGAGTCGCAGGGATTAGTCGGGCTCCGTAAGAATTGACCCAGTCCGCTCCCCCTCCTTAGGGTATGGCGACCTTTCTGACTTGTCCAGGGTTCGAGTCCCGTTGTTAACGTGTTCAGTGTGGAGTGGGGCCTCCTCTCCCAGGTCGTAGGGGATTAGTCGGGCCCCGTATAAATTGATCCGGACACCCTTGTGTTGAAAAAAAAAAAAAAAAAAGAATACAATGGGTTAATAATTCAGATGTAAAAGGGGAGATACTCAACCTCGGCATATAAATTTATTTATTTTTTTTAAAGGATTTTATCGGCGTGATTCATGATTGATGGCGCGTGCGAGATGACTTAACTATTGGGAGGTGGCAGAAGACAAGGGGTTGGTCGGTTCAAACTTACTGGTACAAGTTTTCCTGACAGTAACCCTTTAATTTCGACCGGAGGCAATTACCAGATTACATCACCAGGTTATCACGACAAAACTTTTTTTTTTTTTTTTTTAAAAAAGGGGTATGTTACGTATGTATACGTACTTTGGTTATAATTATATGACAGATGTGGCATAGTTTAATTTGTAAAGCTCTAGTTAGAAAAGAGAGAGTCAGAGCTTTGAAAGTCAAACTATCAAATTCAAAAGGATAAACAAAATGAAAAGAGAATCGGTCAAAAGGTTGAATGAACTGGCTGATCAGGCAAGCAGAAATCCATTAGTAGCAGTATTAGATAACTGGAGACGCAATTAGAATTCCACCGACTCATTAGTGGTGGGTCTACGAATCTCTTGCTCCGCCATGCATCCAAAGTCAGTGGATCACTCTCTTTTTGGCCGGATGGGATGGGATGGGACGGGACGGGACGGAACCAACTACTTTAAGAGTAGTTAATCTTCGAGATTGCCTCAAAACTCCATTTAAATATAGGTCAACGGATCGAATTACTTAATCTTACATTTTAAAAATTCAGATTCTTCTGAAATATTTTGTCAGCTAGTAAATAGACATCTATCTAAAAATGATAATGGTTCAGTTCTCTCGAATTTTCACCTTGATCCTGTTAAGCCATCTTCTTTCTATAATATAGAACAAGAATAAATCTATCATACCTGACAGAACAAAAAAAGATACCTGACAGAAAAAAAAAAAAAAAGATGGGATGGGATGGGACGGGACGGGACGTGAACCCAAGAAAAGTTTGGTATTGATTCATTATTGTTCCAATTCCGCCAGGGTACTCTTCATCATCTTCATATTATTGCCTCTCTACAAATCTTACACGTAGTCCTGAAAGAAAAGAATAACTATAAAATCTCACAACGCTTGATTCATTGATTGGAAGGTTGACGAGGCGATCCAACGCGATGCCCGGATCGCCCGGAAAAAATAACTAAACAAGGGGAAAAAGTTCCCTATCTGGCTCCAAGGGATTGGTTCTTGGTTTTCAGTGGGTAACTAGTGGCTCTAACGACCATGATTATTTGCAGATTACAGTACTAAGTACTTATTCATTCGCCCCATTTGGATGACTCGAGAATAAGAGCAACTTTCTGCAGGTCTCTTTATCGTCATTGATTTGTTTATTTTCATGGGTGACAAGTCAACCGGCAATTAAATATTTTTTGGTGTAGGGTCCTGAATTATATAGAATGAGTCGTCAGATGTATTTTAGATGGATTTGGGACAGGAATTATCATCAGACGGACCGTTTCTGAGCAGTTCACAGTCTCCTGAGCAATATATACGACTGCATGGACGCGGGGCTGGAACGGTTGTCAGAACAATCACTTCGAAAAGTGTAACACCATTTGTATATGTATAACATCATCTGTATAAGGTATAACAATAGAACAACAGCGAGTAACATTAGAACAACATTTTTGTGGGTTTCACACGACGTGAAAATCAACTTACAAAACATGATTTGAGTCGCACAAATTTTTGAGACCTCATCCAGGCCGTGAACTGCCTGAGACGGTTAACCATTCCCGCGCCTCTGTACACTCTTACACTGCCGTTCTCAAGCCAGACATTCTAACATTGACGAAGAATTGTCGTGCGCTATCTTTTTTTTTTCTTCTACTAATAAATGATATGGTTCATTCGTGTTTAAACTTAGATTATCATACATTTGTTAAAAGAAATAAAATGGCATGGCATTCGATTCTTTCTACTTCTTAAATTCTGTCCCTCCCCTCCGGTTGGAAAAAAATATTAAAAAAAAAAAAAAAATCAAGAGCTCAAGACAAAACAACACGTCTTAAAGTTTTGTATTTCAATTTTAAGCATGCTGCCTGCAAGATGATTTGGTTCCCAATTACATTATTTATAAATTATAAGAAATTAGCGGGATGGTTTATTTGGCCTGCCTCTCAAATTAGGAGAGATACATACAGGCAGCGCTTTGATATTGAATAACATCCGCAATAAAAATGAGGGACTCTGGATACATAATGATGCCCTCTGCTCATATCATTATCAATCTGATATCCTCGAGGGACAGTAAATGATATTGTTCAAAGTTTTGAGATTTTGTTCAGCTTCAATTTAATCAGTTCCTTCTTTGTCCCTTTAAAATGAAAAGATCAAAAGTGAAAAAGAAAAAAAAAAAAAAAAAACAGTTCCTCCCTTTCCTTTTCCCTTAATTGGCCGTCCTTTTCCATATGAAATTTCCGGTACAATTGTGATTGGACGTCAATTTGTACAAGTTACAAGCGAACGGACCTAGTAATTTAACACGCTAAGCAACACATTGCTATTGCCGCAAAGAGTACTGCAAGAAGCAACTAAATTTGGACAGGGACCGGATTAAATTACTCAAAATCCTTGCTCGAGTCTCTCTGTTCCTTAAAACTCTTTGACTAGTCAAATACGAGGTCAAAATCAAGTCCATATTAGGTCGAACCCCCTCTTTTCTTTTTTTCTACAGCCGCGACAAAATGCGCCCCGTTGAATTAATTTGACCCTTTTATGAACCCTTACGCAACTTGATTCTCCGGTTGATTTCCTTTTCCAGCTCTTCAAGCCCCCCTACTTTTTCAAGTTCCTGTATCCATCAACAACCACCCTGCATTAGGATTGATTTGTTCTAATCTTTTAGTTACACTACTTTTTTCTAGAACGGGTAAAGCCCAAGGATGTTTTTTTTTTTTTTCCCCAAGAAGTGGGAGGTTTATTCCTAGACATGATGAATTAACTAAAGCAATAGTGCACTATCAATAATTAAAAAAAAAAAAAAAAAGGAAAGAAAGCGGGAAGCAGAGGCTGAGAAGGGAAACCACCTTTGGTCCTAAGAACAACCCAAATGGGACGCCGTTGAACTTGTCCGAATGATGCAGCTGAAAATCCCACACACCAAAATGGAAGAAGATGGTGGCCGTTAGCTTCGGTTACAAAGGATCATGTGTACCACAATTTATTACTCCCCGATCCGCTGTTAGTATGATGTATGAACTGCTAATTGAGGACGACCCCCGATTCGCATGCAGTACTATAAAAATGGATTCTGCTACAAAAGTGCAGAAAGAAAGAATACCTGATGTGCAGCTGCAACTCTTCTGAAGTAAGGAACATTTGCAATGGGACCAACCGGAAATCTCTTGTGCACCAGACCATCGTGGACGAACATGTAAGCCATGCCAAACACTGTAATCCCAAGGCCCTGCACGTCAAAATCATAACTTTCAGTATAAAAAGCGCACGGGACGAATACAATCTTGAGCGATTGTGAACGAGAGAAGGCACTCACGGCACCGAAGCAGAGGCCAGGAATGAGGCCCTTGTGGAAGAAGCCATAAGAAAGGAGGGCTATGGCAGGGACGGCGTTGATTATGGCGAAAACGTCGTTAAGCTCGAAGGGCCCTTCTCTTGGTCTATGGTGTGACTGTAATGTGTAATCATCAAAAAGATGAATCAAGTTCCCGTGGAATTCCCAAGCAAGGTCAAATTTAGAAAAAATCTACGAGCGAGTGCTACTAGTACTAGTATAAATCTGCCGGAAAATTGGGATTATAATCAGTTAAATTTTAAGTGTAAAGATAATCTCAGTTGACAGTTGTGGTCGGATTGAATCCAATTTTTAACGGTCTATTAGTTTGTCTTCGCAACCGATCATCAGCGGGGACTAACTAGTTCATAAACATTTAATTAAAAGACAAAAGCGCCGAAATATGTATTATGAGAGCCGAAAGATTGGAAAGCGGACCTCGTGCATGTGCCATAACGAAGCGTGCCACAGCGCTTTGTGAGCCCATCTCGCCCAGAATTCCATTCCCACCTAAAGATATAAGATATAAAAAAAAAAACCAAATTCATGATCAAATTTCGATCAGACACAAATACCCAAAATCAAAAGAGTGAATTATGGATGAGTAATACTACTAGGACTAGAAACTTACAGCTGCACCAACTGAAAGAGCAAATGTGCCAAACATTTCCGAATAAGGCACCTCTCCGCCCTAATACCCAGAAAGCCAAAAAAAAAAAAAAAATCCAGTAAAATATCAGGATGCAAGAAAATGTGACACACCCACTAAATTAAATCTGTTCAAATTGACAATTAGACATATGTGCTGGAGCAGAGTATAAAATTCGATTCTCTTCCTGCACATAAACAGAGAGATTAATACACATGATACACGTAAACAGAGAGAGAGAGTTGAATAATGGATGGATATACCTCCATTTGCCAAACAAATCTGTAGTAAACAGCCAGAACTGCCATGGAAGTAATTCCGAAGCTAGACATGACGGCCGCAACGAGATAAGTGAACCTCTCCGATCTCTTCCTGGCTAGTTTCTCCGCCGTTCTTGCATCAGAGATCCGCTTCGCCATCGCTTTCTCGCGCTCTCGGGCTTCCTCCTCGCTTGTCACCAACTGGGCTTTCAATTCCTCATCCTCCAGCACAAAACAAACCGTCAACCTGGGCTTCCTTCGATGCCTCCGAGTTGTGCTGAATTGCTGGGCTAAAGGGGAAAAAGTCAGGCTATCTGCGACTAGGGAGGTGGGTTTTCGGGTTAGAAATGAGTTGACCCGGAAACAGACTGTCTGGGCGCCGGCTGCGACGGCAATTCCGGCAGCCATAGACGGTGGTCGTACTTGTATCCGGTGTTGGTTTTCTCAGAATTTGGAGAATTCTTGAGAGACGGAGAGAGATAGAGTGTGTGCGTGTGTTTAGGCGTCTTCTACTTGTAGAGCCTGATATAGGCTTGAAAGGAGGTGGGATTGGAAATGTTTAGAGAGCGATTTATCTGAACCGCCTGCGAAGTCTCAACAACGGCAAAGGCGGTTGCTGATGCTCGAGGAGGAGAGTCGAGACTTGAGAAATGAGACTATGAGAGAGAGTGTGTGTTTGGCAAAGCAGAGTTGCAAAGGTTAACTGCATGTAGACCACATGTTCTCTTGGTGGACGCTTCCTCACTCTCTCTCTTTGAATTCACTGCCTTTATATAGCTGAAGCTGAACCACTGAGCTTGGGGGTCTCTAAGTCCCTCCCTCCTGGGATCGTAGGTTACTATTTCAAATCTCACCAGCAGCAAAAAATTTTTAAGAATAATATTAAAATATTTTTTTAATTTAATAAGTCCTGTGTATTTTAAGTCTCTTTAGGCTCTTTTTTCTTATAAATTATAATAGAATAGATTATATAATTATTATCATCTTTGAAAATATATATATATATATATGTATCGCTGAAACTGAATGTATTCCAGCTTCATTTTTGTATTTTCATTATTCTTTTACTTCAATTGCCAATCAATTTTTATTATTGTGGATTTCCATAGAGAAAGTACTTTTTATTATTATTATTATGGGATTTTGTAACACATAGTATTTTTCTTTGAGGGATTTGTAACGGATTCTTAATGTACGCTGGTTATTTAACCTATCATATACATACATAAATTAATAATTATTATCCTGTCTGTCATTTATATCATACATTTCCAAAATATTAATACGTGAGTAATAAATAAAATTAGCGGGATGGGCAGGACTTACATAGGGTTAATAATGTAATATTGCATGATATGGGCTCATGCCCACCCCCTACCAATATTCACTGTAGGACTTAATTGGATGGACCAAGATTGGGTGAGTATAGATTAGTCCCACTCAAATTACTGATAATGTTGACCCAAACCATTTGTCGCAAATCTAATAAACCTTTTATCAAAGGTCCTAATTCCATCCCGCCTCAATATGAATTTTCACGTGTCATCGGGTGGACTTTTTTTTTTTTTTTGGTTGTTTTGAAAGTTTCCACGAGAGCAGACCGATGTGTGAAAATTGCTTCTCCCACCTCAGATTTGGAAAAACACACATTTTTGTGGAGTTTAAACATTTATTCATTCCTCGGGCATTTTTCCTGAAAAACTTCGGCGAAGATTGAGATGGCATTTGCGTGGTTTTGGCGAGAGGAAGGGGGATAAGGGCCAAATTCTAGGGATGTGGCGGTGGCGGTGGAGCCGCGGAGGCGGGTGAAACAAATAAAAATAACAAAAAAAGAGAGTTCAGAGTGAAATGACAGATGGCAAAAGCCCATAGGGAAGAAATCAGGTGGATGACCATCCGGGGAGATTGCGGGGGGAAGACAGCAAATCGGAACAGACGTTGGGAATGGTTTCGATTGCGTTCGGTCAATGCTTTCAGCCTAACACGCCTCCAAAAAATCTCGCCCTAGTCTATTAGAGAGTTTTGCCCCTTTTTTCAACAGCCTGAATCAGACTTTTGTTGTTTTATAAACCTAATCCCAGAATTAACCTCAAAAGCCGGCATTAGAGAGTTTTGCCCCTTATTGTCGAGGTTTGGGAAGTTAGTGTCGGCTACGCGGATGGGCCCATTTTTCCTTTAGCATCGATGCTTTTAAGGTAGGTTTGATGAAAAACCTTTCCATTTGGCGCCCTTCTCGACTAGGCAGCTCGATTGAAGAACCCAATCGTGTCATACAATTGGACAGTGAAGGTTAAGATGTCGCCACAATCGTTCTCGTTCGGTTATTATATATTTTACGTAACTTGTTATATGCTAAAGTTATTTTGTTGTACACATGAATTTTGTTCGTGTACACTAATTTAATACTCCTTCTGTCCCGTTTTGTTAGTCTTGATTTTTTTTTTCACACAGATTAAGAAAGTGTAATTAATTTTGTTGGAAACATAAATTTAGATTAGTAATTTCCTAAAATACCCTTATGCTAATCAATGCACTCAATGTATTCAATGTATTGGAAAAACTCAATGTATTCAATGTAGTGGGTTAGTATTTAATAACAATGTATTAATAACAAGATATTTAATAAGGGTATTTTAGACAATTTGAAAGATTACTACATTTCTTAATGGGAAAGTGGACTACAATTTGGGACGGACGAAAAACGAAAACAAAACTAACAAAGTGGGACGGAGGGAGTATAGCATAATTTTTAAAATATATATATATATATATATATATATATAACAACTGCATCAATTGTGATTAACCTCGATCGGCCCTATCCTAATCCAATATCATGCCATCTTCATTCGTGCCACGCACACAAGAAAAAGATGTTTTTTACTGATGAATGTTGAGCATAAAGTATCAAATCCAAGTGCATAATTGCCCGCTTTGTCCTAAGCTGAAAAATGTTACTAACTTGATTCGCGATTAAAGTGAAGTAGTCATTCGGTAACTTATTTAACTGCATCATTTCACGCTCTCATCTCATAAGAGCAAAGAAAAGTTACAATAATTATTCCAAATAATCTCGTATTATTCAAACGTCACATCACCAGCGTCCTGGATCTTCTAATCCCTTACGTGCAAGCCAATTGAGTGGAAATGCACCTAACATTCTCACAGTGGTCAGCATTTTGGTTGCTCCGGCAATTAGTTAGGTAACGCTTACAAATATTTTGTAAAAAGTTTTATTTACATGCCATCAACAAGATTTTTAACAATTTTTTTTTATATATTTGTAATATTTTTTGTCTCGCAATGGATTGTAATTTATTTGAGATAATTTTGTGAAAAATACTGTAGCACTTTTTTGACGTGATGCATGTGAGATAAAACGATGATTGAAAAATATGTGATGATACAAGTAAGTCAGTGTGTAAATAAAATATAAATAAAGTGAAATAAAAGACAATCCAAACGCACTAATAATAATATATTATAGCGTGATTCAAGAAACTTCTCAAAATAATCTTTCTATCGAAACACGCTAAATGCTATCCTCTCCTTACTGTGACTATCAACGTCCGAAAAAGAGCACCAGTGAAGAGATAATCAGTGAATGACCTATAAAAGAGAAAGGGCGGAAAAAAAGAAGATTCGGACCAGTAGCCATTATTGATAATGGGTGGGTGTGTCGGACCGATGCCTTATGAGCTACAGGGCCACTGAAAACGCTCGAAGGTTCCCTCGATGACACGGACAAGCATCATTAAATGAAAAGTATGCGGAACAAATCCCGGACTAGGATTTTCAGTCATCACATCATCATTGTTCTTCGTGGGAAACCGGAAGGAATTCTATTGTTTGTCGAAAGATTGCCGCTTGTCACCCTTTCTAACTTTCGGGTGCAAAATCGACAAGGTCAAGACTGCTTGACAAATGTCCCTTTTTTTTTTCTCACTCTTTTTTTTTTTTCATGGGAAATCGGATGCAATATATTTGCGTGTTGTTTTTCTTTTCGTCGTGACTCTAGCTAGGAGCAAGTTTTTTGTTTAACGGGAAAAATGCACTTTTCATCCTCAAATGTTGGGTTCATGACTAATTTCGTCCTCAAAATTTCATCAAGAATACATTTCATCCTCAAAGTTCTTAAATTTTTGGTCAATTAGGGACAATTGACAGAATAATGCTCAATTTGGACGGAAAGCTGCACGCGAGAAGCATGTTCTATTAGAACCAACAAAAAAGGGCTAAAACCCATTCAGAAGTGTAGATACTAGCGTTATAACTTCTGAATTCTAATTTTTGTATCTTTACGTTATTTTGTTTATATTCAGTAGGAGCCATGTCAAGGACCACTTGGAATGCATTTTTGACAAGCCTATGCCTCTTATTTTTTGATGGCTTTAGTTGGTTATATTAATTTGGTTACAATATCCAGTTTGGTTGCAACTTTGGACTGTTAAAATTTAAGGCAAAACTCTACCAAAATTTTCCTTCTTACCTTATTGACATGTAAATCAGCATGAAGATAAAAATAGTTGGTGATTTTTTTTATATAATGCCTATTTTAGCTTGGAACTGAAATCATACACATAAATAACTGATAGTTTTTTCAAATAATGGACGAAAGCAACGAACGTTTGATAGTTTATGGGAAATAAAAGAAACCCACAAAGAATCCTATGCATAGCCAGCATTTTTTTCATTTCTATAGAAGGTAAAAAAAGAAGTTATAAAGAGGTGATAATTTTTGGACAAGATAAAAGAGAGGAATAATTTCAGAAACCTCCCATGAGGTTTTTGACAATTTCACTCACCTCCCTTAGTTTTGAATAATTACATTAACCTCCATTCATGCAATAAAATTACTATAATATCTTTCACTTATAGATAATTTCTAAAAAAGTCTACAACTAAAACTAATATTTCATTTTAAAACAACGGTTATCACACAAAACAAATTCTTATTCTCTCTCTTCGATGCTCTCTCTTACATTTTCTCTCCTATATTTCATAGTTCACTTTTTTTCCATAGTTGCCATCTACACAACCATCTAATACATCCCGAATCCTCATTATTATGGAAATAGATCCTCTCTTTTTTTGTTTTCCTTTTTTGTAACTATTATTGAATTGACATTGCTAAATAATAGGTTGTCAAAGCATATTTGTTATCAAACTAAATGAAAATGAAAAGAATGGCGGCGATACAAATTACAAACAAGAAAATAAAAAAGATGGCTAAAAAAGAAACATAGATTGAGGAAGATTACACTATTATACCAATTGTGTTTAAAAAAAAAAAGAATTTTGGGATATAAGAACTATAATCAAATTTGCCCAAAAAACATAGAATGTGGACTCTAATGTTGCTTTTGGTTGCTCCTTATTGGTATTCTTGGTGGGTTAGATTATTTTAACATCAACAAGCTTGCATCCATTTCGATTGAATTTGAATAATGACATTGGTCAATTTAGATGCAAAATTTGGGTAAAAAAATTAAGGAAAAAGATTAGATTGAATGGAATGGTTAATTGTCATAATTGATTTGCACAGGAAGCTTTAAAGCTGCAAAGTTGGGCTTTCGAAATTATGAGAATACGAGGATTAAGTTAAGGTGGCTTATTGACTTCGTTAGGGTGGTAGTGATACCGATGGCAATAGTTGCAATGTAGAAGAAATTCATGAGCGAGTTTTCCCCCCTTCTAACTAATAAAGAGGTATTTTAGGGTTTTTAGGACAAATTTAGCTTAGTGGATTTATATTGTTACTAAAATGCTAATAGTAGAGAAGGTAAGTGTAATCTTTTAAATTAGAGAGGACCTACCTGCAATAGTCAAAAACCTTCCCTGAGATTTTTGAAATTATCCCTAAAATTAAAGTTATAAACAACTGGTAGTTTCTATACAAGATAAAGAAACAACAACCTATCAATTTTTTATGGATTTCCTCTATTTTTGCAAATAGAGTTTCCTCTATTATATTTTTTTATAGGTAAAAAATAAAAATAAATTTAAACTAAATGGACTGGGTTAATTTAATGCGTTTCGATAGATACTCAAATCCAAGCCATCTATAACCCCTGAATAAATGGATGTCGACCATTTATGTCAACCTTTTTGCTAGAAATGACTGGATTTAGAATGGTGAGGGTAGTTAGAAATTTTTTTAGAATTACAACAAGAAGAGGAGTGGAGAGGACATAAATGAAACAAGAACTGGTTTTATCCGTTTTTTGTTGAATGCAAAGTTGGTTCTAACAGGGTATGCTTCTTACGCGCTGCTTTCCGTCCAAATTGAGTGTTATTCTGTCAATTGTTCCTAACTGGCCAAAATTTAGAAACTTTGAAGATGAAATGTATTCTTAGTGAAACTTTGAGGGTGAAATTGGTTATCAACCCAACCTTTTGAGGATGAAAAGTGCATTTTTTTTCTTTGTTTAATACTAGAGCAACTCAATTGATTTCCCTCTTTGTTTGAGAGAAGTTTATTGTCTTTTTTATTGGAATTTATGGAGTTCCCTTGGAGCATCAATTGGGAAAGACGAAGTGTAAAACATCTTAATTGGTTTCTAAATTCCAAATATCCAAGTTAACCGCTGTAATTAAGGAGAAAGATTGGGTCACAATTTAAGTGGTACCCATCCATCTCCTGCTATTTATATTATAGGACAAGGTCGATATCCTGCCTTGCATTTCCAACTTCTTGATTTTGGAACAAAATTTTTACCGTCCTTGAATTGGAAAATGAAAAAAAAGAAAAGAAAAAAGCTCGTTATACTTAGTCGACATGGGGAACAAGAATATCATATCCCCAGACACTGAGAAAACTAGAAAAAATGTATCTCCTCTCTTATATTTATACAATTGTCACATGCATAGTTATTAAACCCAACCCGGGAAGGAACCCGGCGAATGAGGTGGGTCAACGGGTTACTGGTTGAACCGGTGGGTCATTACATATATTTAAATATTATATTTCATAATTATTTATATAAGATATATGATATAAATTGTAATAAATAATGCCATAACAAAAGCTCATTTAATTTAATTTGTTATAAAATAATTGATTCATATAAGAATCAATCAAATATAAAGTTATTTATTAATATACCAAACTTCAAGTGTAAAATTTTATCTATATTTAGTGTAATTATCTAGTTTATTTATGAATTTTAAGTGTAAAAATTTATTAAAAATAATATTTGTCTTTAAATGAATTATGTAATATGTTATTTTTGGAATCCATTTTATAACTTATAGAGTTTGGAGGGTAATAAATTTTTATTAAAAGATTCCAAATAAATTTGTTTTAGAGAAAAAAAGATAGAATTGAAAAAATATTTATATATCATAATAAAGCTACTATATCAACATATTTAGAAGTAGTTTGGTGGTAAGCAGGCGATAGTCTTGGGGCAGAGGTTCGAAGTTCGAGTTCCAACAATAGCAATATAATTTTTCCACAAAATCCGGTTAGTGACAAAACTGGCCGGGTTTCCGGTTTAACCCGGTTCAACCGCCGGATCGTTGACTAAGTCAACGGTCTCTTTGCACAAACGATCTGATTCCAAACCCGGCCCGGTCCAATGACCGGTTCGATCGCCGAACCGGACCGGATTTTATAACTATGGTCACATGTATTGAACCAACTTGTTGACCGAGTTTGTTATCGGTTTGCTTGAGTTATCAATGCGCCAATAAATACATCTGTATGAACACCGAATGGACGGATGGGACAGAAGATAATTTCAAGACAATGGATTTGAAACGTTACAAACTTCAATGTTCATCACATGATGGACTAAATGCGATACTTGCTATCTAATTGGGCTTATGCAGTGTCTGCGGATAAAAGATCGAGTCTCATTACCCACAGCCTCCCTTTAACGAAGTCCACATTTTCACAACTTCAGGTGGTACAGATGCGGCGGGTCATCGAGAGAGAGAGAGAGAGAGACATGTTAGAAGAATAAGTGGCCCGCCAAGCAGTACAACAATGATTAAGATTTGGGCTTTACACCAAATCATAATACGCTTCTCTTTTCATTTCGAAGATTGAGGACTCATGGGCACTAGGCAGGAGTGCAGGATGATGGAATGGGCCAAGCATGTCCTTTTGAAGAGGCCAAAAACAGTTTTTAATTTTTCAACAATGGTTAGAGCCGAAATTGATGGAGGAGTGTATTGTGTCTAGTTGCTCAAAAACTGGTGACCTACCTTCACATGGGAAGAGCGAACTGTCCAATAGAAGGACATATATGGGCAGGGAACTGTCCAATCGAGTCCATACCTATGATTTTTTTATTGTTTTTAATTTTTGACCTTTTAGATTTATCATATTATCATTTTGCCATCCATCACTTTTTTTTTACTAAACATTATTTCATGTAAATTTATTAAAATATGAATATATAATAGTCATTATATAATTAAAATATATAATATATAAACAATATAAATACTTGATTAAACTCGTCCAGTACTCGAATATTTATTTCTGATACTCAAATTCAACTCATTACATGTAACAAGCCGCTCGAATTTGAATTCAAACTTGGTCAAACCGAGTTTGATGCAAACTTTTGATCAAGTCGCTCGCAAGCTACTCTCGAGCATCTTGGCTTGATGGCACCCTAATCCCACCCAGGCAGACATCCATAAAAAAAAAAAAAAAAAAAGTTTCACTGTTCCTCACGTATGAGTGCTGTGCATGCTTCTTTCCCTACAAAACTCGTTTTAGCGTTAGTATCCTATTTTCGAAATAGCGGTTCCAACCTTGGCCTTTTAACGTATGAAAACTACAGTCAGCCTCTACTGCTATCATGGTGGGGAGCATGCACATATGAATCTTTCTGTTCAGGGTCGCAAAAAATTATCTTTTTTTGGTGCTCGAAAATGGTGGGTTACTCAACTAAGCAAGTGTTAGTAATAAACATCTTTTTTTTTTTTTTGAGAAAGTTAAGCATGGTTTAATTTGACGAACGATGAGGAATGCACTTCAAGGCCGTACCCCTTGTGTTGGTAGTTGCTTGTCAAGTAGTAGTAAGATCTTGGCTTGTGCAGGAATACATGCATTCACTTATTGGTGACGTATGCATGCTGAATTGAGGGATGGGGGTTGCCAAGACCATGCCTTCCACAGTAAATTATGGTGTCTAATTCCACTATATAGATAGATATGACGATGCATGGAACCTCATTTTCACCAAGTGGCTAGCTTACCATACGGGAAAATATGAGAGCTGCAGCCATGAGTAAAGGTGGAAGGAAGGTACGGGGGTGGACCTGTTTGGCTCTGGAAGCGAGCAGCGCATCGAAGCTTCAACTTCCTCGCCACCTATTACCAGCTTCGTTTAATTTTAAGTCTTCTATGGCTGGTCTTTTCAGGATCGCTAAAAGCTATCAGTGCCTAGCTATACTTTGAGGATCGCTAAGGCATTAGTGCCTTTGTTGTGCAGAATATTTATTTTAACACATGAGATGAGAGTACTTGGTTGGCCACGACCAGCAGAAGGTTGAATAGGGTGCAGTTTACTAAGACGGCTCAGAAGGATATTCTTTTCTGTAAAACATTTTCCTTTCTTATATAAATCTAGATTATTTCATTTGATTTCTGTATATATAGTGGATGACTTATTGCTGTTTACTACGGCTGCGATGGCATATGGAATATCATTTGGAGACAGCAACTGACTATCAGAATTCTTACCCGTTATAGCCTGATAGTGCTGAAGTTATACTTGCCAGGGAGATATCTCATGATATTCTGGACGATGGGCTGAAGAATCAAAGCCATGAAGTCTCATCCTCTCTGTAGGTTGAGTTTTGAGGAGCCGGGGAATAAAAAACCCCCTCCTGGACGAGGCATCACATACAGCTTAATTTGTTGAGCGAATCATCGACCGAAATATAATGTTTGCTTTTAGAATGATTGGTGCTTTGCTGCTTATGTTGAAACCATGGTAATCATATCACTATATGCTGAAACCCTTTCTGAAGTAGAATGCCAAGAATGTTAAGGATGCAGCAAATCAACTATATTCTGAATAAAAGGCGGCGATCCCTCACTCGAACTTTCCAGAAATGAAGTAAGGTGAGGCTGGCCGTTGGCATTGCGAGTGTTCATCCAGATATATGGAACAGAAAGCACATTGAAACAAGAGGGGTACTCTCTGCAATCTTGGATTCGGTAGTAATTGCAATTGGCTTCGGACATAAATAACATGGGAAATCTGTTAAAAAAAGCTGGCTGAGATGAAATATTGAAATTAATCGGATGTGCCAGAGTACACGAGTGGAGCTGAACTGCCTAATTTTACAAGCCGTGTTAGGACTGAGAAATTGGTCTGTAACTGAACAAAATTTGCTGACCATATTTGTCAATTTCAGAAACTATTCCAACTGATTACAAGTTCATCAAAAGACCATATGATGTTTAAACCCTCTACATCTCGCTTCCCCGATGATGATAAAAAAAAAAAAGGAGGAGGAATAGAAACTGGGCATTTTCTCTTTAAATACAAATGCAAACTTTTACTTCACGTCCAGGTAGGAACAGACTTGCCTGTGTTTCTCGTTTGTATCTAGAGATAAATGAACTAAGTTGATGTTTGATGATCTTCTTTGAAAGATCTACGACGAGAACTGACCCTTTTGACCACAAGTTCCTGCATCGACCAAAAAAAATTATATACGAAAGGGGAAGAAGAACACAAAACGATACAAATAATTCTTCACACGCATGCTCTTACATCTGCGAGTAGCAAGTCCCGTGGCTCGAGCATGTGGATCACATTGCCCATATTAGGCCTCTTGTCAGCATCTGGGTCAACACATCGGAGTGCTAGAAGAAGAATGCGTTTCAATTCCTTCACAGAAGGCATTTCAGGCAAACTGGGATCAACAACCCGATCAAACTTTTGTTCTGAAACCATTAGTTTTATCCAGTCGATTAAGCATTCCTGCAAAATGAAAGTCCGCATTAGGACATTCCTGCCTGCACTAAGAAAAATAAGACGAAAAGATTCTTAGAAGAGAACCTCTATTTCAGTAACGCTGTACTGCACTGAAGTTTTCCCTGATACAATCTCCATTACAAGTATCCCAAAGCTGTAAACATCGCTTTTCACGTCCAGAATACAGGTGCTGGCACATTCGGGTGCAATATAACTATATTGAAGCAAGGCATCTAGGTTAGCAAAGCTTTACAAGTATACAGAAATAGCACAAGTCCTTCCGTAATCAGAGTAATTGTCCCCAAATGCAACTAGTGCAGCTTATTAGACATAGCTAACCCGGACATTCCCATCGGGAGAGCAGTGGCATGACTCCACTCCAGACCAAAAAACTTGGAGATTCCAAAATCAGATATCTTAGGATTCCATTGCTTGTCAAGCAATATATTGCTTGATTTTAAGTGTCGATGCGTAATTCCAGGTTCAGAGTCCTCGTGCAGGTAGGCTAACCTGCACAAGTTATTTTAAAAAGAAAAAAAAAATTAGAAGAAAAAAACAATTGATCATGCAGAATAAACTTAAGTATAAGCCTCTCATTTCAGGGGGAAAACAGTGCACCCTTTTGCAATTCCTTCAATGATACTCATTCTGATTTCCCATGTAAGACGGCTAACTTTACTTGTGCTCTCATGAAGCCATTGGTTAAGATTGCCATTGTCCACATACTCGTACACAACCATCCTGATTATTCAAACAAAACAGGCAGAATCACTGTACTTTACAAACTTCTTCGTTTTCCAATAAAGGAATGATAATTAGGCACGCACCTAAACATTCCCTCTGTGCAATATCCCAATAATTTCACCAAGTTCTTGTGTCTGAGACACCACATTGCCTCCACCCCTGCCACAAAATCCTTTAATGCGCCCCTGCTAGCACATTAGCTAATCAAAACAAGTATCAAAGAGCATCGCACTCCCAGTATTTATCTATTCCGTACGAAATACTGCGTGCCTCGTACCTATTGACAAGCAATTTCTTGATTGCGACTCGAGTATGATCAAACAGGACTCCACGATAAACAACTCCGTAGTCTCCACTTCCAACAATATTTTCATCAGCAAAACCATTCGTTGCTGCTTCAATCTCATTGAAGGTATATTCTTTGCCCGGCCTTATATCCAGAGCCATTGACGGGCACTCAGTTTTGTTCCCGTTACTCGTCACTAAAACCCCGCTAGCCACAGTAGAGCAACGTCCGTCGGGGTTGCCAATGCTCATTTCTACATCCCATCCATTACGCGACAAGAGCCTCTTATTCATGGCTGGAGAAGACGTATTTTGAGAAGTTTTAAAATTCTTGGAGATGATAGTCCTTTTAACAATGCATTTATCCCGCCCCCGGCGGCGGAAAATGAAGATCAAGCATATGAAGATGGACAGAGCAAAAAGCATGGCTATAGAGATGCAGATTATAATTGCAACCCATAATTTAACTCCGAAAAACGAAGTTGGCTTGGAGAGTTTGTAATTGACAGACGGGATAATGAAAGACATTATGGTGATTTGATGAAATGTTCAGTTATCCATTATTCCGAAAATTAGGACGTCCACTCTTAGAAGGCTTTTGTTACTGTCACTCTATGGTCAGGGAAGACTCTTAGATAAGGTATGTAAATTCAAATTTAAAGAAACTAACCGAAGCACCTTATAAGGCGGGAATCATCAATCATGAGTTATCCAATTACACAGAAAGTGTTTTAACAGATCGACATCATCAGACAAAGAAGAATGGCAATACTATTTTAAAAAAAAAATTTATTTGCATTGAGGATTTTGTTTTTAAAACCTAAAACTTTTCATCTTTCCTTGGAAAAAGGGGAGTATTAATGTAGATTCTCGGGTACTAATACAGTATATTTCAAAATTTATACTTGCTCTAATATCCTTAACAGCATACTTCAAAAATCTATTAAATGGCTTTTCTCTCATGAATTTATTTTTTAGCGGACACTTCGATTTTAGTTTAATTCTTGAGAAAAGTGGTTACGGGTTTATTACTTTTTATGGACATAAACACGCGAGAATGCTGGGTATCTTATGCCCTCTTAATGAATTCGAGGTTTTTGCTGTAAAACGACTTTACCGACTTACAATTTCAGTGAAAATACCAAAAAAGGATGAAATCTCTGGCCGATTTTGCAGGTTTTATACCCCCCCCTTTTTCTAAACGTGTGCGGAAGAGAAGAAATTTTTAAAATTATTTTTTGAAAAATTCTCGAAAGCCCAAAAGAAATATTAAATTAACCTAAAAGGCATTATATTTTTCCTTTTAACTTATTATAGTTTCTTTATTATTTCTTCTGAGTTGGGCCCCGAGTTTGTACAAAATCCAAATATTTTACTTAGCAGCCTTCTTCAGTTCTTCTATATATAGAACATCAAGCTTTACCACCAAAATTAACCAAGTTTATGGAGTTACCAGGATTGTCCACTGACTCCACTCTGAAGAAAGACCTGAATTAGTCGCTTCTCTATGCTTTTGCTGAATAATTGGACAAATAAATTACTGCCAAGTATGGTACAGCAGTATCACCTACAAAATACGCCTCCCATATTCTTTTATACTGCCCACAAAATTCAGGGCCAATTTTTTTTTTTTTTGAGCCGCCACAGAGATGCCTACCTTCAAAGAGGCATATAAGTTCCCAATGCTCGGTCAAAAATGGATTGCCCTTGGTATGCAGATCTTCTCAACGTCTCCATTAAAGGGTGTTTGAATGGGGTGCAGCTTGATCTCATACAGCTTTGGCCACAGCTTTCCAGTCACTGCAAATAACACATTCAGATTCTTTTGGAAGTCCTTGCACTGCTCAATGACAGCCTTAGGAGAAGCACAACGATTCAAGACAGCAAAGAGTGCAACTCTAAAAAAGAAAAAGGGGCAACTCTGCTAAGAATAGTTCAAATCCCAAATGGCAAAAGTATTCACAACTCATGGTGACATCCGTGCATATTTTATAGCACCATCCATTCTTCAAATATTATTGCCAGACTCCACTGTGTAAATTCCCCAGTAACAACAAAGCTGGAAATGGCTGCTAATATCCAAACATCACAGGTTTTACATGCCAGTATTTATTCGCTCGGCTTGGATTAACCTAGACTGAACTAAGCTGCTGCTGTATAACACATCAACGAGTAGTATTGATAAAAATGAAAGGACTCACCAAAAAGACGGTTTTTGTCTTTATCCCAAGCTATGCCGTTTAAAACATCAATTCCCTGCAAGAAGGTGGAAAAGTAAAACTTTACCGTAGGTACAGAAGATGCAATTCATTGAAAGTACGCACATAAAATGCCCACCGTGAACCCAGCAGCTAGTAACCCTTCCCTGCAATCAAAGCAAAAATAAATATCAATCCTCGCACAAGTTTTTGGAGGAAGGACTCATTATCTGAAAAGACAGCATTATTAGGATTTTAAATAGTAAAAGACCAAAATCAGAACCTCAAATTATGGAGAAGGACCCATCCTAGCATAGTACCATCATCATGCGAGATTCTAGCAATACAGTCAGTCTGCAAAGTGCAAAATAAGGTAAGTCTATATACTGTATTAAGAATAAGAATACGCTACAGTATCTCGTGTAGCTGTAATCCATTCAGTTAACAAAGTAAAACAAAGATAGACTTCTAAGTTCTAAAGGTACAACAATTTGACAATGCGCTTCATCATCTATTGACAAAATAAGCAAATTGACCAGCCCAACCTCCCTTGTAAGTGTAAAGTGCTAAAGGTCAGTGGCACCAACATCAAAATAAGTCTCACATACTCAAGCGAAAAATAGCCAAGCAGAAATGGAGGACTTTACCTGCCAAACATTTGCCCAAACTTCACCGTTTACATACTCTAATTCATTGAGATAGCGTACTTCATGTCCTTTATACTTCACAATGTGTTTACTAATAACTGCATATATGAGAAAATTTAAGTCAAGTATGACAAACCAAATCAAACAAATAAAGACCACAATTCAGAAGATAAGTGTTGCAATAGCAACATACCAGATTATGTATGTGGCAAGATATAATACAAGGATCACCAAAAGAAATCTAAGGGTCCGTTTGTTTCGGGTGAAAATGTTTTCCAGGAAAATATTTTCCTAATTTCCCGTGTCTGGTTGCACAAAAATTACTGAAAACATTTTCGTATGTAAAATATTTTCACTCATCTTATGGAAAACAATTTCCCTTCCAAACTAATTGAAATTGTTTTCCGAAATGCATGCATCCCGCCTGTAGTATATTTCAAACTTACTGAAAACATCTTGTAGTATGTTCTTTTTTTTTTTTAGTGTAAACAGGAGAACTCGAACCCAAGACCTCTTCCTTACACTCCCTCCCCCGTAGCGTCCAACCAAACCCAACCCTCCCCCTAATATATTCAAAATAAAAAAAAAAAAAAAACCTCATCCTGCTCATCCTATGTTAGTAATTAATTATGTATAATAGGGACATTCTTTTTTAGAAAAACTTTCAGCAGTGAGAGTGCAAGATATATGTCACAATAAACATTGCATGTGATTGATGTTTGACACTAAATGGCCAGCAATTTGTTTATTGCTTAAGGAGATATTTTTTATTCATATATACATTTCTCCAAGATTTTTTAAAGTTAAACAATGAGATAAATTTTCTTATTTTGCATGGAAAGAAGTATGTAGTTATAATATGTAGAAAGTAAAGATAGAGATAAAAGTGAAAATATTTCAAAAGTTAAACAAACACCAGAAAAATGAAGTAAGAAAATATTTTCAATAAGCTAACCAAACACCTGAAAATGATGAAAGGGAAATGATTTTCATGGAAAATTACTTCCACGGAAAATTTTTTCCCAAGGAAAACATTTTACTTCCAACCAAACAGACCCTAAAAGAAGATGAAATTTACTTGGACTTTCATATGACAGAGACCTTTCATGGTTTGAGGATCCATCTGATACAAGGTTGATGATCCATCGCTCCCAAACAAAATTTTTCCATCAGTAGCCAATCCCCAACCATCTTGCATTTGATGGGTAAACTCCTCAAACTGTGTAGACCATTTCAGAAGTGAAAAACCACAAAAAAGCTGTCAAATACACAAAGAAGATGCACCAATCTAATGTTTGGCAATTCTAAAGGTTGTATGCAAGAGAGCACATGGATTATCGAACACATAAACAATTATATGCAAGATCACAAAGTTTTCATTTCCACTTGTGTCCAAATCAAAATTAGTTAGCAAGATTTATTTCTTCATCTTGAATTTTTAAAAGGGCCTAAGCAGTATTCATCGATTTGAAAGTCAAGTAAAATCAGACTATGATGTCTGTCCTGTCCGGACAGCATGAAGAAACATGGCAACTGACAGCTGGAAAACAGAAAACTATATACTGAATGTGGACAATTACATTGAGCATGGTTCCATGCCATGAACATGATTACTGTATCAAACAAATTTATCAACATCGATGAGCATAACTATATTGACGATTGAAAACAAGAAAAAGCTGGTTTCTTCATTTCTAAACCACTATTTTTTCTCAGAAGAAACCCTACCAAGAGTCCACACCTCATAACTGTTATGGGCGGCCCTAGTTTCCAGACCACAGAAGTCAATGAAGATCAAATGCCACAAATTTAGCAACTGGAAACCGAAAATTCTCAAAAATACAGCCATCAGTTTTAACACTCAAGGTGAGACTGTCATATAGAAGTTATGAATGCTCTAAAATCTTGCTGCGAATAGATGTGAAACAAATTTCAGTAAAAATGTTACTCAAAAAGAAAAAAGTGAAGTACAAACTTTGCTTAAATCATTCCGGTCATAAATGAAACCAATATTCCGCAACCAAGTAACTTGAAACAACCTACAAAAGTAAGATTACTGCATCAGTACTGAGGACTAGTTTGATTATTCAATTTACTAAAATCAGGGGGGTAAATGTTCAGGAAGAAAAGTAACGAACAAAAGAAAACTTATAGGAACAAGGTTACTAAGTCTGCTGTAAGTTGGAAAAACTATAAGAAAAACCAAACCCTTAAATGCTTAAAAGTTCAAGCAGTAACTTACATTCATTTCAATAAAAGGAGAAGGGAAGAAAGAATTTCAGTTGATCAACTGTGTCAAAATTCTTCAATTAGTGCCACGTATGGAACTATTGCTTTTGCTAGATCAAGTTTTCACAGTTTACCAAGTTTCTAACTATGTAGAAAAATGGAAACTCCTTTTACTATTTACTAATAAATGCAAAGCGCACAGACACTCTGAACAGATTAGATCTTAACCCAAACCTTTCTCCAAGAAGAGTCAAACCTTCTCCAAAATAACTTCTCTTCATTTTCTGAATAGCTTGAACCTGTGAAAACCAGAGATGGTAGCTTATCACTTCAAAACAAAGTATCTGACATATCAATCTGTTTACCAACCTCTGTCTTTACACCTGAAAGCTTACGACATTTTTGTGACCCAAACATACCATACAAGGAGTACATATTGATGGCAAAAACTTGGGTAGCCTCGGTCTATGGGCCCATCCGTAGACTGAGCGGTGTAGAACTCGCCATATCCTCATAGAATATTAAATATAAGAATTACAAATTCTGTTCCTTGTTTTCTCAACTATGGTTAAATTCTTCTGCTGGTTTCCCTTATACCCTTTAGTCAGCTGCTTTCCCCAACCACCTCCCAAGTCCCGATAGAAAACCCTATCATTCCTCCTCACATTCTGCAATGGCAAGGAGGATAACGCCCCACCTTCTCCCCTCAAATGCAGCCAAATCTGGCAGCAGGAAGAAGAAGAAATGGAGCAAGGTAAAGAAAAAAGGAGAACTTGATAATAATCATTTAGTTCCATTTTTACCGACCATCTGAGGATTAGCGGCCCACTTGCAAGGATTAGTGGCTAACTTGCAAAGAAGGCCAATAGGAAATTGAAGGCCAAAGGTACAATGTCTCAACTGATGCAAGCCAGCAGACATACAGAGAGCTACCAACACTTACAAAGTGTTCCTTCACCTTTCTTAAAAGAATTAAATTTTTTTTTCTGTCATAGACTTGTGTGTCTTTGAATTAGTTTTAATTTTGCATTCTATAGCAATGAGGCATTATTGACTACATACTGAAGGATCTGATCGCTTCTCAGATTTTGTCAAGTTCATTGTTCATAAACTGTTTGTCAAAAGTCCCCAAAGAAAAAAAAGAAAAGAAAAGAGAGATATAACAGATGTGAAAAAATTTACTTACAAGCATGGAAGTGGGTTATACTTGAAACATAAGACTTGGAGAAAAAACTGTCTACAGGCTTTGGAGCTTATCCATTCTCGAAAGAGAAAAAGATAGTAATTGATGACTTCATAATTTGAATTTGGAGGATCCAGCTCAAACTTCATTTACCTCCATATGTTCTTTCTTTTCTTTTCGTTCGTTTTTTGTTCAGAGCCCAAACAAAAAGTAGTATAAGGAAAGAAAATCAATAAACCCCAGTTAGAAAGAGTAATGTGGCCACTTAACAGC